CAGGAGAAGGAGCTAAATTTTGTCTGCAGCTGAAGGTCCCGTTGGTGATAACAAAGGATCTGAAAAAGTATTTAATCACACTTGTGAATAGATATTTGTATCATATTTTATCATTTAACAAACTTGTCACTTGCATAACCTCACTGAATTGAATTGCGAAGGTATATAAGCTTGTATCTTTTCATATGCTTTATTGATGCATTTGTCACAATTCTGACTTTTCCTACTGGGAAGGAATTTTGAATTTACAAATAGAGCAAATTTCTGACATTAACTTAAATTTTATCAGGTATGTTATTGTCCTACCCAAAAAATTCTAGAAATAATAAAGTGTAAACTGTAAAGAATGTAATACCGGGATAAAAAACAGTAACAAAATAACAAATGTCAAAATCACTACATAACAATTATTTCAATTCAGTTGGTTTATAATTTTTACTTATAAATGTCGAGAAAAATACCTTTTGTATTCTGTGTTTTCTTGTCTAGAACAATTCGCCGTAAACTTAACTTTGACGGGTCTGAATTAGCAGGTAAGGATACCTGAAACAGAAAATGGGATAGGAATGAAAAGATGCCTAATATCATCAAAAATCTTCTTCCATTGTTTGGGTTTAGAAGTCAAGGCCATATTGGTATAAACATATGATGACCTTTTACTTGCAATGACCGATGAACTAAGCCCAAAGAAGATCTTAAAGCAGCACGCCTCCACACTCATGTTAATTTACATAAAAATTTTGGAAATGTATTTAAAAGTAAAATAATGTGAGGTGAACAAATAAAGTAATTTAAAAATTATAATCAGCACTTACAATCCACAATAATTACCAAAAAGAGGTCAATATATGCAAAAACAGCCCTTACTGAGTTAGTAACGCAGTAGAAATATGGTGATAAAATACTGCAAAATCAGTCTTAAACTGCATATAACATGTAAAATATAACTTGGATTTTTAAAGGGAGACACAGGCAAAATTTTAATTTCTTAGTTTTGAATTTTTCATTCATTATTCTGTAAATGCCCTCAAAATGAATATATTAGACAGTCAATGGAACAAATTTTTTTTCCATATAAAAAATAAAATGGTGGTTTCCTAACTTGACCCGCGTGGGTCAGGTTAGAGCACTATGATTTCGCAATATTTTGTCAAAGTGAACTCTGGAAACGTTAAAGAACTTCTCAAATGAATGACATAGACTTGTTTCAATCATACAATATCCAAAATATCTGTTATTTTAACTTAAAGGGTTGGTTCAAGTCACCTGACTTGTTTTAAAACTATTTGGTGATTCTATTGGCGTCTAAATTTTGTTCAACATATATAGATATATTTACGTTTCAAACCCAAAATATATAAAATTCAAACAGAAATTCATGCTGAAACTTCAAGAAATGTCATTTTAGCCTGATTTGAGTACATAAGATCATTTTAATATTTTGGTCATTATTTTGCCTGAATATCCCTTTAATGATTTACCTTTCTTAAAGTTTAGTGCATTTTTCTCAATATTGATTTTCTTGGAATATTTTGGGATTTTTGGCTCATCTGGAGGCATGCACAAAGAGGGGTCTTTAAGACCTTCTTCCAGCAAAGTAATAAGTCACATTTTAAAATTTCAACACTATAGTATTAAACCATGGTGTCAGTTCTACTTGATTCTTCCTTTATACCACAGCCAAAGCTTTCCCTTAAATGTCAAATAATTTCTTTTCTCCTGTTATAATTGAAACCTCATTTTGTTACTTTGTAGAATATAAGGAACACTTTAAACCTTTGATGTAAAATCAAGTTACCTCAGCAGACTGTGGGACATCTGAGTTCTGTGATTTTATTGCCTCCCACACTGGTGAGTCACCTCTCCATGCCAAGCTCTCCAAGATACATTCCTCTATCTGTGAATATGATTATACCCTCATAAATACAATCATGAAAACCTCATAAATACAATCAATACCTCATAAATACAATCAAGAGCCTCTCATAAATACAATCAATACCTCATAAATACAATCAAGAACCTCTCATAAATACAATCAATACCTCATAAATACAATCAAGCCCTCATAAATATTATCAAGTCCTCATAAATACAATCAAGTCATCATACATACAACCAAAACCTCATAATATGATCAAGCCCTCATGAATACAACCATGAAGACCTTATAAATACAATCAAGTCCCTATAAATATAATCGAGTCTTCATTAAAACCCAAAATAGTAGGAGAGAAAATCAGATTAAGGCAGAAGAGTTCCCAATACGCAAAATGCCACTACATACATAAAGCTATTATGAACTTTACTTAATTTGACAAAGATTAGTATATTCAATGGTCAAGATCTGAGTTCAACATCCAGCTTATGAGAAAGAAGCGATATTTCATCAGTTTCCAACCTAAGTATATGAAATACGACACAAATACAAACAAGGGTATACTTACATGATTAAGATGTTTGACCACGTCCCGTGACAAGCCTTCCTCTTCTCTTACAATAATCTCTATCACCTTGTAGAAATGGTACGGACTTAAATCAAATATATCTACAATCCATGGAAACATCCTGAAAAACAAACAAATCATTATTATATACCAGACATACACATTTTATCTTACTGTAAATTTAACATCTACTAGCATTTTAACCTTTCATCTTCTAAACTTCTACATCACCAAGTCTTTGATGGCTTACAGAAAGTGAACATGACAATACTTTAATATACTACTTAAAAATTGAAGATTCAATTAACCATGAAAGTATTAAACAAGGGTAAAACAATTTGTGATTGAAACAACTTACTAATTAAATATGAAAACATAGGTCCAATTACCACTTCAAAAGGGTCTGATCTAATCTATTTTTACAATTAATTTTTCATGCATCAGCTTAACAATAGATTAACACCATAATTTTATCAATGTATCTGTGTTCTTTCAGCATAACTGATGAATATGTAAATAATTCCATTTGATATATTCCTTGTCTGGAATCTATGCACTTGAAAGCCCTCCAATGCAAGACCCTTTTATATTTTCTAGAATTAAGACACTTAAGTACAGTTACAGCAAAGTTCATGAATTAACAATTACTTTCAAAAAAAACAATTTGCAAGATGAAGTCTACACTAGTTATAAATGGAAGGTAAATGAAGGAAGTAGAGCTGACATTGATTCAGAATGAAATATATCAATATCAGATAACAAAATATAGCTTTTAAACCTCTTGTTAATTATTTCAATAAGACTTATATTTTCTGCTGTCTTTTTCTGACCACATTTTGACATCACTGCTAAGGAATATGTACATTAAAGGCCCAATATGCCTTACAAATGCTTTCATTTCTAAAAAGCCTAATAATGTTAAGTACTTTTACAGTATCCAAAAAGTTACTCATTGGCCAATAACCGGAACCATCCTTTTCAACTGTTGCTATTTGGCAATAAGTACACTTACAGTGAATAATTATATTGTATAGACGACAAAATACTTTGTTTTCATTTTGCCACTTTTATGACAAATTATTTCACATCTGTCACTACTTTCTTCAGGTAACAAACATTTAACATTTTCTTAAACCATTGTGTAAACATTATTGATCATGTTTGCCCTTTCTAATGTAAAAATTAATTTCAGCTTCATACTGTGCCTTTAAGAAATAATAAATTAAAACCATGAAGTAACAATGGCATAGTTAAAATAGACATGTGTTTTTGATGGGACACCTGCTCTTGTTTATATTTTGGGCAAATTTTCATCATTTCAAGACATTTTATTTATTTCCTTCAAACTATCATGTTTTTAAACCACATTTAATAATCAATCTACAAAACAAGAGCTGTTGGTAGGACAGCAACGCTCGACTATTCTTAGTGCTTGATAGTAAAAAAAAATGCTTAATACAGTTACCTCCTCCTGTTTACAGATTGGGGTCATGATGGTGAACAAGTGTGCAAAGTTTCAAAGCCATATGTCAATGGACTTTGAAAATATTTGAACTATTACAAAAACTTTAACATAAGTGGTTACGCCGACGCGCCTACACTCGGGTGACTACAATAGCTCTACTTATTCTTGTCGAATAGTCGAGCTAAAAATCAATAAAATATCAATACAGGGAAGGGGAATTTTGTGACGTTTTAAGGAAAAATTCGAAATTTTATGTTATCATGTATTTTTTTATCACATTTACTCATTACACTATTTCCTTCCATTGGTTTCAGCTGATGTCAGCTTCTTTTTCTGAACATCCCTTATCGTTTTAAGTGACATAGTCTGTCCATGGGTAAAATACAAAAATTATGAATCATGGGTAAAAACAAAAGTTGTTAATAACTTATCATAAATGTTTAAGATTTTATAAAACACCTTTTGAAAATTAAAGTGACATTATGCTCATTCAAGGGTATACATTGAGTGAACAGGTGAAAGTTAAAATAAGTTTTTATATAGCCAGAATTCCTTTTAATTTAATTCATATAAACAATATAAAAATCTCGGATTGAATTTCTGTAAATATCAATTAGAATTAATTTACCTGAAACGTTCAGTTATAAAAAGAGTGGGGCAGTCTTTTTATATCTAAGGCAGATTTTAAATTTTATCAACAACATTTTCTAAAATAAACTGCTGGTCAAACACTATTTTAACAATCTTTTGAAATAAAAAGTCAATTTAACTTGACTAGAAAATATGAGCATAATGCATGGGTGCAAGTTAAAAATTTTGAAAAACCTGAACTATTTGTTTGGGGGCCAGGGGGCCGCAAGGGCCCCCGGTGGGTCCAGGGCAACGCCCGGCCAGGGGTTCAGGGGGCCGGAGGCCCCCGGAAGCTCCTGCATTATAGCACATTTGAAAGCCTAAAATGAAATTCCCTTGAATGATTACATGCCAGATAACATACATACTGTAGTATAGTATTTTCACTTAAATATTGCTTACATAATCATTTTCTTTTCTCTCTCTCTTTCTTAATTATATAAACAAAAACATTTCAACACAAAAAGAAATGTGCATTCATATATTGTTTCCACTATTTAATATTGTGGTTCCAACAGTAAAGAGTGATAAAACAAACCAATATTTAAATAAATTGAAAATTGAGTTGATTTGTACCGAGTTTACGTTTTAATTAGGGCTGAGCTGACCCTGATTCCATACAAACAATAAATTGTTTTCAAAAAAGATAATTAAAACAAGCCTGGTTATGTTTCACAGTAAGTTTGTTTTTCATATGGTTCGGATCGTCTGCGTGCATTTAATTATTTTTTTCCCGCTGGATTCATACTTGATGAATTTTCTACATACAGTGCAGAAAGCTACGCCGGGAACGTCTGGCTTTTCCAGCCAGTTTCCGTAGTTATCCCCGTTTCGATCACATACAGACAACCATTCCCATCTCCATTTATTTTTTGAGGTCTTCTCGATATCTTTTGTATTAAATCCTTCGTGTAGAAACTTCATTTTGACTAACAAATTGTACATTACTTTCTGTTTACATATTACTCTGTAGCCGAATCGGTAACAAAGCCGCTTTTTCATTGGATGATTATAATTAGCGCGCCAATCTAAATCGTTGTAATAAATTCACGGATAAAATTGCATGCCGGGATTAATAATACATGTTTTCGTAAATATCTCGTATATCTTCGGAAACTATCGGCAGTTTCCGCGAAAGTTTACTATTGACGCTTCGAGAACAACCGTGAGCATCCGTATGTTATATAGCGTTCTCGATTATGAACTTCTAATCGGTGGTAATTCTCAGTTTGAAAGAGTAGACCCGCACCATACCCCTCCAAATATCTCAACGGATTTACGCGATTCGCAAAAATGATCCCTCCGGCACGTGAAAAACCGGAACTTCCGGCACATGCCGGAAAACTTGCACCCATGATAATGTCACTTTAAAAATAAGCTCTGTGCTGTGACACACTGAAATTATTATCAATAAGTTCCAAATTACCATGCAATGTTCATGTGATACTCAGAAAAAGAGTGGAGCTATCTTTTATATATTTCAGTCAGTTTTTAAATTATGTTTTTAAATCATATATCTAACATTTTTCAATATCAATTATTGGTCAATTACCATTTGAGTAGTCATTCTTTTTGGAAATACATTGAATAATTCAGCTCAATTTGACAGTGAAAAAAAAAGCTTAATGCCACTTTAAATTGATTACAGACAACATAGACAAATTTTTTGCTGTGTTGGGCTTTCTTTAGGGATTCTTATTTTCTCAATTTTATATCATAATATTATGATTTCGTATGACAAGCCAGAAGTCTTAACCTATTACAATATAGATTGTTAATTCAAATACTTCAATATCGTGTTGGAAGGAACTTGATAATGTAATATCAACTTTCCAGCACTTGTTATGATACTGTATTTCTCATGAAAGCCCCTAAAATTATTTCCACCTTTTCATTTTAAAGTTTTGGTCATTCAGATTCAGTGACTCCTAAAGGTATTGCGTTTGTATTCCAAGTAATCGAGTCCCTAAAGGTCACAAGAGATCCTGTTCTATTAATTGTATCTACTTAAACTGGATATACTGTGTGCCATTATTCACACGTTAATTTTGTATTAATTATTATTATTATAGATTGATTTCCAATTTACATTAATATTCAACAGTGCTGATGCTACTTGAAAAAAACAACTGTTTTTTAAACATTCACAAACTTATCAAATTTGAAAAAGGGGGGATAAATACATGATCAGATAAGCTATACCTCTGAGAGTTGTATGAGAAGATAATGATCTCCAGACAACAGGCAAACAATGATCTGTGAAACAAGTCGTGCTCCAATAATCCCTGAAATATATCATCGTACAGCATCAATAAATGATAACATTACATGCTTTTCTCTTAAACAAAAATTATGCTCTGGTTCTATTTTGTTTGTTTTCCTGGTTTTAAGCCAATTTAAACACATTTTTTTATCATGTCTCGGCAACTGATCAACCTAACAGGCTGACGGTACTCGGTGTTTTTTTTCACTTTTAGGGGAAGGGGGTCGGTGCCCTTTGGAGGGGGAAAAATGCAATTAGAGGGGGAATTTTATTTGTTTACTTATTTTATAGGTGGAAAAGGGGAGCAACTCTTGCAACACAAGTTTAAAATACATATCTTTTTCTTAATATACAGTAGAACTTCGGTAAGTCGAAGTTGAACGGACTTGCGTAAAAACTTCGACACACCGGGACTTCGACTGATGAATCGCTCTCAATTCCATGACAAAATTTCGACCCGTGACTAGTCCTAATTATAAGATCTATGACGAAACCTATTTCATGTTTTTCCAACATTAATCTGATATTTACATTTTACAATGATAAATATAGCATGTTAAATAACGTTTTTCACGGCTAATAATTTGGACTACCCGTTGACATATTCAAAAGAGTTACAAAAGGCGTATGAATACGAAAGGGCGATAACTAAACCTGCTTATAGTAAATATTACGCGTGTTATTCTCACGCGACACCGGGTCAAGGATGTTTTCAAATGAAAGTAGTTCTTACTGTTTACTTTCAAATACCACTACGGCAATTAAATAGTTACGATTAAAGCATTTTATCACACATTTTATCGCAAACAAAGGCTGTTTGAACACACGGCTGTGTTATTAACACCTATCACACAAGTTGATTCGAAATTGTCTTCGCAGCCAGATAAGGTGTGAAAAATGTCTCGAGATCAAAGGTGTCAAAACAATCCAAGGACTTCGACTTATTTGTTGTAAATTGCACTAGATTTACTTTATACGGACCACGAAAAAACCTCGACACATCGAAAAATTCGACACATAAAATTTCGACTCATAAATAGGTTTTTATAAGGAATATATAGGGGGGAAAGTCCGGACTTTCATTTTTCTTCGACACATCGAGAAAATCGACTAATCGAAGTTCGACTCATAGAAGTTCTACTGTACATATCTAAAATATTGATGTGTTGCATGTTAAACTTGTTGGGTCCCCGGGAGTAGCTCCCCTTACCTACCAGAGAACGATTTGTAAACAACCTTGCTTAACAGTAACTCTTACAGGCATTAAATAAAACATTTTTCGGCAGTTAGTTGCAAAAAAAAAATGAAATTTATTGCAGGCATATTCAGGCTGCCATATAGGGGGAAATTTAGGCTTTGAGTGGGGAAAAAACATACTATTTTGAGGGGGGAATGGGGCCGAATTTCGCCGAATATTTTGGTGAAAAAAAACACTGGTACTCCAAGTCACTTGTGGAGAAATTAGTAATTATTGGACAAACTAGAACTGCCACTGCCATGGCGTGAATACCCCCGCATACCACTTTGTCAGAATCAACAGTGGCCATTTAGAGCTCAAGGACAACTTCCCTGCCAAATCTGAGGTTACTTAGCCAGTGCATTGCTAAGTTATGTATTCTACATGCTTCAAATGTGAAAATGTCAAAATCAATACACTGGGGACAGGCATTCTTAAGCAATTGAGGGGAAAAACTTATTTTTTTGTCAAGGTCCCTGTGACCTTTGACCCAGTGACCTCAAAATCAATAGGGGTCATCTTATGGTCATGATCAACCTCCATGCCAAATATGAAGACTGTGGGTCAAAGGAATCTTAAGTTAATGGGGGGACAAGAAAAAACCGACAGACAGCCGGACGGCCGGTCGAGCGGACAAGCTGATTCCAGTATACCCCCCTTACAACTTTGTTGTGCGGGGGTATAATAATTACTAATTTCTCCACAAGTGACTCGGAGTACTAACACCCAACTAAATTTCTGAAACAGCTGGGAGTGACAAATAACCAATAGACAATGTTCACAGAAAAGTTATTCCTGGCCAAAGTTTCGGACAAGTGTTGTCACCCCTTGTTTATCAGTTTCATGCCCTCCCCTACTGAGCTTAAGGGCAGACCTTGTACCATTTTGTAAAAAGTAAGAATCTTATCAAAGAACCTATAAAACTGTTATTATAAACTTTTTATGAAGGAGTATAACATAATGTATGAAATCGTTGCTTAACTCACTTGAAACAGTCAATGAATAATTCTTTACGAATCATTTTATTCTGTTTACTTAAATATTCTAGTGCAGTTAATAAAAAGCCTCATTATTTGGTTCTAGAGAAATTATCATAAAGGGTTGAAACTGTATAAGTATTTCTGAAATTTTTACAATACATTTCACTGTTGCAGCGTAACAACTTTAGGAGAACAAGAGCTGTCATTGGGACAGCATGCTCTTCTATTCTCAGTGCTAGACAGTATAACAAGAGCCTGTATATTTGTTAGAATTTTCTAAAATCAAAAAGGGCCATAATTCTGTTACTATCTATGTTAATGTAATGTGCTTTGGATTGTGAACAGTTTCAACCCATTTTGTTCAGTATTTTGGAGATACTATTCTTCAAATAGTCTAGCAAAAGAAACAATTGACTTCATTGTTGTTCCACTTACTGTTACATTGCTTTTATGATCTTTGCAATTTTCTGCTCTTTTCCTCTCACTGGTGAGAATTTCCTCTAATGTTTTGAAGTATAGGCTTTCACCGAGCTGAAGTCGCCGTTTTGCGAAGTCAAGCTGGCTTCCTGGATGGCTCTCTGATGCCTGTAATAAAACATATCTGTAAATTACTCTGATTACACAGACCGTCATTTTTGAAAATTGTACACACACATTTACTGAGCATCTCTTCAAACTTACATTACATTTTTCTTTTAAAGCATTTTTTGCATGGTTTATTTTTGCTGCGTTGCACTGTGTACATCAGTGTGGTATTATCCTCCCTTAGATTAATAACTACCTCATTTGATATAGATGAACACTGTTACAGAAATTCAGTCCCCTCAAGCAGTTTTTACATCTTCTCCCATATTTAAACTTTTACATATCTGGACATTATTATTACAGAAGATTTCTACCGTATTTAAACTTTTACATACCTGGATATAATTATCACAGATTTCCCCCGTATTTAAACTTTTACATACCTGGACATAATTATTACAGAAGATTTCCCCCACATTTAAACTTTACATACCTGGACATGATTATCATAGATTTCCCCCACATTTAAACTTTATACCTGGACATTATTATTATAGAAGATTATTCCCATATTTAAATTTTACATACCTGGACATAATTATTACAGAAGATTTCCCCCCACATTTAAACTTTACATACCTGGACATGATTATCATAGATTTCCCCCACATTTAAACTTTATACCTGGACATTATTATTATAGAAGATTATTCCCATATTTAAATTTTACATACCTGGACATTATTATTACAGAAGATTTCCCCCACATTTAAACTTTATACCTGGACATTATTATTATAGAAGATTTCCCCCATATTTAAACTTTACATACCTGGACATAATTATTACAGAAGATTTCTCCCATGTCTTTGACCCTTTGTGTAATTGTGTCCATCAGCGCCTCACCACCTAGCTCTCTGCAAAACATTAAATATTCAATATTGTTATGACAAATATCTAACGTTTTTGGACTCTGTGTTGAATTTGATCATAAATTAAAGATTACAGAACCTTATGAACATTTATGTCATCTGAAATATGATGTCAAAGTGGATTTGTTTGTTTTAATTCATGGCGCACCAACACAATTTAAGTCATACAACACCAAAACTGGAAAGATGATTTTGGCTAAAGTTTAAGTGTTACAAACTTAAAGCAACACCAGAGGTCAAACAACCTCACCTGCTGGAGCTAAGAGATGCACAAACTCCAGCAATTCAAACACATCTAGTCACCTCTTATGATAGATAGTACAATGCTAAACTACGACTGCATTTCTGATGGCTCAAGCCTTAAAAGCAACCCTTCAGCCACAAGGGGGATGTGAAAGTGGTAAAATCCTCTCATTTGAGAAAAAGTTACTAACATTAGCACACTAAACTATTTCCAGTGCTTGTTAATAAAACAAGAGTCTGGATAATGCCGGGATTAACAAGGAGGAAGGTTTCATTCACAAAAATACAAATATTATTATGAACACTACATAGTCATGTATCTCGGATTTAAGACCAAAGAATTTTCAGAGTTAAAAAGAGCCATAATTCAATTAAACAAGAGCCACCAAAATTCTAGTGAAGCATTATATTTTTTTCTTCCTTATTGCTAAAGATTTGTTTATAATCATAAATTTGTGTTAAATTTCAACCCTTTTTTACTAGATTCTTTACTTTGACCCCCCCCCCCAAAAAAAATTATTTTTTTTAAAAAATCCTTGAACCAAACAACCCTACAAAGAACTTTGAACTGTTAAAATTCAGATAGAATTTCACATCATATAATTATATAAATCTACTCTCTACCAAGTATTATTATTAAAGCCGGCTATTTGGTCTTCACTAACCTACCTATTTTACCAACAGATCTTTAATACTGGGCACTTACTAAAAACCTCCCCGAACTTTTCAAGTACCCTAATTTTATATACAAAATTGGCATTTAATCTGTTTTCATGGGGAGCAATTAGGGTCAAAATGTCAATGAATATGTCAAGTGGTCAAATTAAAGTAAACGGTATAGGGGTAAAGATTGTCACAATAAGACTAGTTAAATGATGCTTTGATAAATTGGATTACCGGGACTTAAGCACTTCAACATGACAAAGCTTGAGAAATTCATGTCAATAAAAAAATCTTCCCGGGGATAAGTGTGTATGGGTGTTTAAAACTCTTCACATTATAGTTCACCTTTCTTTTAACTTCATAAAATTACACTTTATTTCAAGAATTTAATTTAATGTAAAAAAAAATTGAGTGCACAAAGCAGCACATACAGTTTACACAAGGGTTTGACTGATGTCAGGACAGATCTTAAAGTGTTAACATTAGATTAAAGTATCACTTTTGAAATCTACACAAAAATACCATAATGTTTATTTAAGTAATCAATCAAAATTGATTTTCATTACAGAAATCTTAAAAATCAACATAATATATGCTAACTTGTCACAAATATATTGACCTTCACCTCAAATCTTTCCATTCTTTCAGCCCTGGCTACATTCCAGCTCTTTGTTTAACTTTCCAATTTTTTCGCAAAATTTTCAACTTTTTTTATGTAGTAATATTTTATTTTTTTTTGTACCTGGATCTATTTCATTTTTTTTATTCACAGTGACAGTTGTCTGATCAGGAGATTTTCTGACTTAGCTAATGAAGTTTAACCAATGTTCAAGGCATTGCAGAGGCATGGCAAGATAGAATTAGCTAGCTATCTCCGGAAAGCTAACTGGCCCTGCTAAATATCCTGTATGAACTTGTCCACAGTACTGTTCACTACCAAATTGTGTGCATCAAGAAAACTTGAAAAGTTAATACGACTATAGTATAGAGCCTGATCTGACTGGCCAATTGGTAACAGAAGGTCAAGGGTTAAACAAAAATTTTATTTTTTCTTATCTTTATTTCCCACTCCTTCTGCAAATGGAAGTTTGGGTAGGGAAGGTAGGGGGTGAATTTTTTTTATATATATCTCAAAATATTATTATTGAACACAATTCTTATTTATAAATATCAAAAAGAAATTGTGAATGCTTAGCATCTGTTAGAAGGTGATAACCAAGTTTTCAATGTTTTATTCGTCATTGATCACAGCTTGTATATTTAAACAATGCAAAAATATGAGACAGATATAAAGATGTAATTTCATCATTTTGATAAATATTCTGTCATACTAACATAAACAACCAATACTTCCATTTTTTATATAGGATGGCATGCCTAGCAGTGTCTACTACTTTCACTTTCCCAAAGATAAGGATTAAGACTTTTTATTTCTCTTTCTCCTTTAAACAAACAGAAATCTGAGAGCCTGTGCTTTAAATCAATATATTGACATGTAGATTAAAAATCTCAATATTGCTATTTTTCTCTAATAATGCTTTTGGTATTTTTACTTCCCAGACAAACTAGTCCAAAGTTTAATGATGTGGACAGGTACATGGCACAGCCACAAAACTGTATTGGTTCTTTTATTGTTCCCTAATGGTTAAAGCTAGGGCCTAGAAAACTTGTAAAGCATTTTTTTTTTCGAAAGGCATTAAAAACACCCATTTTACAATATTACCTGCACTTCCCAATATATTTTATGATTATATTGATATTTTCCACAGGTTCATTAATTTAGCGTATTAAAGCTATTAATGTACCGTACCACCAAAGAATCTCTTTCATCGAGTTTCATCAAAATGTTTCTTGTTCGTTTTTATGTCCCCACCCCCAACAATTTTTCAATATTATTTTTAACTTTGTTCGGCAAATATGTCACCTAAAAGACTAGCTTTTTCAGAAAGGACCTTTTAATGGGAAAAAAAACTTTAAAATAATCAATTGCATTGTTTGGGTAAAAGTAAAATTCAAAATCCTTAACTATTACTGGATAGTTAGAATGACAAGTACATAATTAATCTCAGACCAAGCAAAATTTTACTGTTCAGGTCCATTGGACATGACTTTTGGAATGTCCAAGTCTATATCACCAAGTAGGCAGTAACAAACTCAAGTGTCTGTTAAGAAATTTTTCCTGTAGGTAACCAGTCATCAAATTTGACATGTATTAAGAATCCCGACTTGTGTAAAAAAAATTTCAATCTAATCTTTTTGAAAAATTATTGTACTTATCTGAAGGCATGCTACTTTTAATCATTCAAATATGTAGTGCAGGACAGCTGTCATCAGATATGTGCCTTCGTAAAGAAGCTTAAACTCATTAAACCACGGTCCTTAAGTCAAATTCTATACTACATAATTGGGGAAAATTTCTTCTTTCTTGGGGTTGGGTTTTATGTTGCACCAGTAAAGTTCGTATGGCAATTTTCCTGCTTTACTAGTGGAGGAAAACCTCAGGTGCACCTCCATGCATTATTTCAGGTACAAGCTGCACCTCAGAAGATCTACCTCAGCTAGCTGCATATCTTCCTCGCAAGTTAGAGTCTACAGCAGTGACAGGCGGTGGTTTGAAGTCAACAACCTAAACCACTAAGCCATGGATGCCCCAACAAATTTAAGACAATAAAGAAATGGTATTCAAAATATATATATTAAATTATGTCGCATAGTAGTATAGTACTATAACTGGCACCATTTCTATCATTTCTGATTAAAACAGAATGAACAATTGTATATAATTGTATCAAGAAAACTTAGAGAAATATTTCACGGAAAGTCTTTAATAAACCTGTTTTGGGAAAAGTATCGAAACAAAGGACGATTTACTGAATAAAACAAGTATAAAGTAAACTTACATAAGTATTTCTTGTAAAGTATCACTTGGCGCTGTTTTTCTTCCAGACAGTAAATGTTGCAATCTGCTCACACTTTGAGTTGCCGTGGACACCGGTGTAATTGTTGGATCCTTCTCTTTAAGGTACCGTCTGCCTGTCAGAGGTGTTGATGGAGCCAGGCTGCGTGTCTGCTCAAAAGAAAGTTGTATACATGGACTATTTGGGTATGGCCACATTTGTGGACTATCGCAAACACATCTTTGTAATTTAGTATGTTCTAGTTTTTGTGTTTTTCTGCTTTCGATGTATTTATGCAGTAATGAATAAAGCATCATCTCGGCATAGAATACAATTTCCTCAATCCTCGCAGCATTCTATAAGTTCTTAAAATTTCACAATAAAAACATTCATCCAAAGTAAAAATTCTTGCAAATAATCAAGTAGACTGGTCCATTTTTTTACAGGTATATTCACCACAATATATATACAAATAAAGAACAAAAGACTTGAAATTCCAACAGAAAAATATCTTCTTAAATTAATTATGTCATTGCACACTGCCCTGCCTTCTTAACATTCAAGGCTTAAAAACTCTAAAAAACATAACAATCTGCAGTACAAATATCCCTGAAATTAGCAATTGTCAATTCACCACAACATTTTTATTTTTTTCTATTTCTTTCTCTATTTTCCAAAGCCCAATAAAATCCCTGCACATTTTCATAAACTGCTATCCTGCCCATTCATGTCAGTTGAATTTCCCACAATTTCCTTTACACCCATTGTTTTCCTTTACCCCTTTAGTATCCATTTTCCTACCATCTCCAATCTATAATTCAAAGCCCTCCTGACCTCATTTCCGACCATATCCTTAAAATATTACGCATTTAAAAACATCATTTCATTCCTTAACATCCTTTCCCGCCACTTCAATTCACTGAACAGCTGATCACCCAGTTTAAAAGCCAATACACGTTTCACCCTATATATTGCCTACCTTGTTTATAAACCGAAGTTAAACTCTAGTGTACCTAATACGACACTATAACGTTCTTTGTTCAAACCATTTGCCAATACATAAAGCAAGTCCAAACTTGTTTACATTTCAATTAACAGGATGTAAGTTATAAAAAAAAAAATATTTCTCCGGCTATCTTTTTTTAAAACTACTAATAAATAGAAAATTTTCCAAGCATCTCTGTGATTTAAATATTTTTATTGATTTAAACTCTGCTAAAAAAGCAAACTTTGCAATATTTCTACAAGATAGCGAAATTTTTCCCTAGTCAAAATTAAAGTTATAAAATTTCAGTAACGCTATCTATTGTTTTGGTAGGCTTTTGAATAGCATCAATAATATTGTGTTCTACTTTACGTTTACATTACTTTTCTTACATCTAAAGTTTGACATGGTTTACATCATAGATCAACTTGCATTTTGTCTTTGCATGCTGAAAATGATGGGCCTGTACAACTAGTAAAGAACCTGTGTGTGCTGGCCTGACTCCGTACCGGTGGCAAAGGGAGCCTGCACACTCTTTACTGGTTGCAAAGGCCTAATATTTTCCATTTCAGCCGACTAAAGGTGAATCTTTCCTTATTTTCTGTACTCTATGCATTCATAATATCCTTGGAAGGAATTGGCCTACATTTTTATAAACCCAAAACATTTTCATGATTAATCGAAGGTTTTCATTTTTATCTGGTGCAAAAGATGTGCCAATGAAAACAAATGATTTGTCCCAGGTTCAAGGGGGATTTTTTAATTTACACCGATTTTAACAGCATTTCAACCTATGATATTGATCGCCATTCTTTTAATAATGAAAACCCTGTAAATGTATGAGATAACTCCTTTAAATTGCAGCATTCATTTACAGATACACCAGCCTGATTAGATTTAATATCTAGGCCACACTCTACTTACTAATCAATTGCAACGCCTGGCAACATACTAACAAATAATACAGCAAATTGAAAGAACTGTTGTAATAACCCATTAAATACACATGTTTATACAACAAATCTGGCATCAAAGACAATATGGAAGGTGAATAAAATAGTAAAACAAAAATATTTTGCTAAACTGATTTCTTTTCCATTTCCTTTTCTTCTTTGTTCTGTTTACATCATTTAATAAATGCATTCACAAAATCTCAATTTCAAGAAATACCCTTATTAAAATTAATGAGCACGTTATTATAGAAACATTTTTTACATGAAAATTATTTTGTGGTAGTTTCTAAAAATACTTAATGAATGGCAATATCTTTGCTTTAATGAAACATTAGAACAAAAATATTTCACCTATAATCATAAAAATTTAAACTTCCTTTTTCAGTAACCGTACTTCATGATGAGACAATAAATTTCCACTCCTAACAAGACAATTTTCACCACCATGGAGAAAATTATTTTATTATAATCAGGGGAGACCAATAACTTTCATTCTCCTGGGATGGAATCAATTTACACAACCAGTGAAGAAGAAAAACTTTCATTCTCAAGGGAGGCAACAGGGGTAGATGTAATTCTACTCACCTGATCAAGGGAGACAAAAAGGGATGAGTCACCTGATCAAGGGAGACAATAGGGGTAGAGGTATGATCAAGGGAGACAATAGGGGTAGAGATATGATCAAGGGAGACAATAGGGGTAGAGGTATGATCAAGGGAGACAATAGGGGTAGAGGTATCATCAAGGGAGACAATAGGGGTAGAGGTATGATCAAGGGAGACAATAGGGGTAGATGGAGTCATCTGATCAAGGGAGACAATAGGTGTAGAGGAATGATCAAGGGAGGCAAAAGGGTTAGTCACCTTATCAAGGGCAACAATAGGGGTAGAGGTATGATCAAGGGAGACAATAGGTGTAGAGGTATAATTCTACTCACCTGATCAACATGTTGCTGTAAACTTGTTCGCTGTTGCATTCTCTCCTTCAATTCTCCCGTAACGTCTTCCCTAGACTTGGCGGGAGTTCCGATCTCTTCATCTGCATCATCATCCAGGAAAATACGCTCGTCAAAATCGCCAACACTGAGCACATACTCCTCATAGGCATTGTTTACAGCTTTTCTGTAAATAACAGAAGTATCGTTTTAATTGACTTTTTCAGTTTTCTGTATTTTCATGAATTATGATATGTTGCTAGCTTCATCAGATAAATTTTGTGTATGTGAAATATCAACATCAATTCTATATTAAAATGCTCCTTAATTCAAGTTTCTTTTAATATTTTAAAAGTCCTATTCAAGCATTTATAATATAAGACTTAAAATGACTACCAATGTGACAACACTAGCTTGCTGGTGGCAAATGACTAAACAATGTGACCACCTTAGCCTGCTGACCGCAAATGACTTAACCATGTGACCACCTTAGCCCCCCCAAATGACTACCCATGGGACCACCTTAGCCTGCTGGCCCGCTAATGACCACCCATGTGACAACCTTAGCCTGCTGACAGCAAATGACTACCAATGTGACCACCGCTAATGACCACCCATGTGACCACCTGAGCCTACTGGCTGCAAATGACTACCTATGTGACCAGTGCAGACGAAGATCAGCTGTCATCATGGCTTTTGCACGCAGTTTGCTATTCAGTTAGAACTTACTTTGAAATTTATCAAAAAAAATGATGGAATGATTTTTTTGTCTGGATTGAAGGATGGACAAGTCCGTGTAGTAATAGTTAAGATGTGCATGCTTGATTCATGTCATCTTATCATTAAAGAAGCGACAAGAAAAGTCTGGTCAGTCAGTATAGTACAGATAGTCACTGCTCTAAAAGGCATTCGAAAACACATATATGCTAATGAACTTCACAGAATAATCTTAAACAGTTTCACATCTAAAACCACATGAAGTGGGAATATTTCATTAAAATCTGTCCTGAAAATAAAGGTCTAATAAGAACTCAACACATACATTTGACTTTATAACAAATGTGAACTTATACATATTAAAAAAAACTTTTCACAATTGATACCTCTTTAACATCGCCTTTTAAATCTTAAAAACAACTTAAGTAAATATAGAGATGATGAAATCTAGAGTTATCAATGAACCCACGCAAAAAGGAAATAATTTACTATTAGATCAAGTGTGTGCGATTCAACAAATCAGTATGAACCAACATAACTGATTACTATTTCGAACATGATGTTAGTATGAAATATGGAAACAAAATTGACTTTTTTTTCAACAAGAAGGTTAAGCAAGTATGAAAGAAAATATAACAGAGTAATGTGAAATGAAAAACGCAAACAAAACAAAATATAACCAAATGTAAAAGCCTTCACATCTTAAATAGATTTATATTACAACTATAAGCTTCATGTAACTATTATCAACCTTTAACCTGCTGAATTTAAAAGATGGATTTGAAATTTTGATACGAGATGGCTATTATTGTGTTAAAACATACTGGTATTTATCACAATTTAACATAAGACAGACTGTTCCATTTGTTTCTAAATTTCCCACTTATTCCCATGTGACATAATTTTCTCCTTTTTATGGGCCTTGCAACCATTCCAGTAAAAGTGAAAAGAGCACTGGTCCATTATCAAAATTTCGGACGTAAGATGTAAATTTGAAATTTGTCAGTAAACAGCATAAAGCCATGTCAGACTGCGCAGACCTTCAAGCAGGCATGGCTCTATACTGAAAACAAAGACTAATAATTACTTTGGTTTCAATCCAATGCTACAATGTACTTGGGTTTTTGTTTGTTTTTCACACAAACTATTATCCAAATGAATTCTTCTAAAAAAATCATGTGAAATGGGAATGAGACGTAACTTTTATACAAGCTTTAACAAAATATCTACGAGTCAATAATTTAATATGTGTTGGCTTTTACACAACATATGAACATTAAGCAAAGCAAACAAAATCACAGATTGATCTGGCAAAACGGTCCAAACAAAGTCTCTGCAGCACTGTAAATCTGTAAAAAAACAAAATGTGAACTTGTACCTTGAACCATTACACCCCCTTATTCTGCAAAGTGGACTAGTCCTTCAACGATTTTGGAAGAATCCATTGCTAAGTACAGGAATTTCAAAGTGAAAACTCTGGACAGATATTCTTAATCAATAGCCTGCTGGCTGTGACTGAAGCGCACTATCTATGCTACCAGAACAGACCGCGAGCAGCCGGCACATCCGTGCCATCTAGTCATCGTCTGAACTGTTCACTATTCAGTAAGAACATTTTGAAATTTTCCCTGAAAATGATCGTTTTGCCCAGGTTGAAATATGGACGAGTCCATTTAAACTATTAAGCATGGTAAGTGTTAAAGTGAAGGAAAGGCATAACTGATGGTTAAAGCAAGGTTCAATTTTTTTTATTTTCATCACCATGAAGTAAAATGTAACTTCACTTTCACAGTCCTACCAACCTCTTAATAGCAGACCAAAATTTGACAAGTTTTAATTTGATTTTAAATCCCTTGCACATGTATATTGAAACAAAGGCCACATGTTCCTGAAAAAATACTTTTTTGCAAGTTTTTGTTCCTCCCCCTGCTAAAATGCGTAAATTCGTCAGCATAAAAGAAAGGATAAATAATCAACACTAAATGAGAACAAGAGTGAATACATGTAAGTAAAGTACATTACAGTGCCCCAAACATCTCGCACAGCAGGTTAGCCTAATAAATGCATTTGAAATTCGAAATTTGTCAATCTTAAAAATTCAGAGCACGGTGATTTGCTTTGGTAACCGAGGTGACTAAAAAATATATTTGTTTTTCGTTTTCAAATGCCTTTTTGTCATTCTGTGATTTTGCTAAAAGGTTAGACTAACTAAAATTTGCAGAATAAAACACATTTTGACATAAAAATTAAGTTTGTTACAACATGAAAGGAATGATAAAGAAACTGATTTCCGTATATAAATAAGGTTGAAAAATATATACTTGAACTAAATATTGGAAAAACTAGTTACCCTGGCAATAAACAATAATTTAATTTAAGATAAATGACCTGTCAATTTTTGTTTCTTAATATCTTGCATTATTAGAAAGAAAAAATACTCTTTAAGCTTTATTCAACTTTGCTAAAAAAAATTCTATTTTCGTTTTCAAGGAATTGGAAGGATTTCAGTACAAAAATGTCTGTAAAATCAAAAAGCACATGGGCTTGAGTTTGGTCAGCCTGAAGTTACATTCAGACACACAATAGCTTTGTACATGGTTGTTAAACCGTATTACTATAGCCGGTCCCCCTAACTCGACTTTTAAAACAAAATTTTTAACAAAATGCTCATTTTCTCCATTTGTCTACAATCTTTTCTATTTCTAGTATTATCTTTTCAAGTAAATTCTGTTTGACAATATTTAGCAACAAGGTACTTAAGAAGAAGCCGGGGAATCGTTAGTCATAACCTTGAAGTTTTAAAACCACAGACGATGTACTAACCTGCTGTATGCAAGTGGAAATTCGTCATACGCTTCATTAATTGCATCACTGTAACATAACATAGCAAATCAATAACACGAAACATACAAACATTAAACAACTCAACTAACCCTTAACCTGCTGAATTTTATTTAAAGGAGGCCTGTCCAGTTTTTATATATGAGAATGTCAAAATTTTATCAAATTTTGGGAGAATATAGATGAAAATATAACATTAAGTCAATCAACAGCCTGAGCCTTTTCAGACTACATGATTGTGTAGACTGGCCTACCTGTTTACCGGTGGCAAAGGCAGAGATCGAAAATTCCACTCTACAAAATTCAGCTTGTCAGCTTGTATTTACAAGTAAGAGTTTACAGGACCAGTTGTAGCCTAAGTACTCATAGTATTTAGTTACAGGACACTTTACGTTCCCTGACAGGTTAATCAATTTCCGTTCTAGCAGCTTAAGGGCTATAACATGAACAGTAACGAAAATAAATAACATTTGATACTCACTTTTTCACAGAACAAATCATATCAACAGTCCAAATAATAAAAGAAAATTTTAAATAGACGAGCCATCTTTAAAATTTTTTGTGTGACAAACATTTTTTTTTTTAGAGGTATGAGCCAATACAACAGCTTCAAATCAAAAACTATTTTAAAGATGGCCGTAATGTGATGTGTTGAAAAAAGAACAGACAAGTTAAGATTTTGAACATAAAATAAATGACCATCCCTTCTAGTTGAATTGACGGTAACAAAAAAGACTTATTTCCTTTGCATTTTCAATTATAAAGATACATAAATAGAAATTTGAAGTTGAATCATTTGAGTAAATGGAGAAGCATGTAATTTAACCACTGACTCCTAAATCTGGATCTGCATCAGTCATATAAATTCAAGACAATAATCAATAAGACAATAATTTTTTTCAAACCATCTTGTTCATTAATCTAGTATGTTAATATCTTAATATCCATAATAGACTTTTCAAGCTTCCATCATAGGAACAGTCCAATTTTTAAAGGATATAAAGATGAAAAGAGCCGTGTCATGACAAAACCAACATAATGGGTTTGCGACCAGCATGGATCCAGACCAGCATGCGCATCCATGCCGTTCGCTTACAAACCCTATAACAAGTAGAGAAACTGATAGCGAACAGAATAGATCCTGATCAGACTGGGCGGCTGGTCTGGATCCATGCTGGTCGCTAACCCATTATGTTGGTTTTGTCATGGCGCGACTCAAAATTTGAAGCTGATCAGCTGTCAGTATTGATCAATATTTCATGTAAGCCAAAGCAAACCACTTAATATAAAACAAGGTAGGGGTTAAATCTAGGATTAAATGAATAACAAATAGTACATTGCTGCAAACTTTTTCCTTTGTTTCTTTTTATTGATGAGGCAAAACTACTTTATTTTTTATTTTTCCCTCTTTAATGAAATTGTATTCCCCCCCCCCCCACCTTAAATTGAAATAACTGTTAGAAAAGTCATATTACAAACAGTTAAAAAAATTTTTTTTAAGTGTTTCTTACTTTTATGACATTTAATTTGTTTAACTACAAACTAATCACATTGGTTAACTTAAATTAATATAGATCTGACTTTTCATACTTTCCTATTTTTAGCCAATTCAATCAATGCGCAACATTATAAAGCCTTTCATAATTACACGTTACATGCTTATTAAAGGCTTACAGAGTATTTCAACAATAGAAAGTCAATTTCTTTCAATATCTTCAATGCTACAATTACTTATAAAGTCTTTATTTAAACACACCAAGCAAGCACGAAATGAAAACAGATCTTGATCAAAGATTCAAACTTGATACCCTGCCAGTATTTTTCTTTTTTTCTAACACTTTCAAAGGTGTAATATCAATATACATTTGGTTAACCAACTATTAAAGCCAGTTTGGTTAAACTTGTGTGGTCAAATTAGTTTTGACAAGTATAAGACTCAATCTTGCTCCACTGAATTTGTATAATGGAATAGTCTTGCTTTAATCATGGAACAATCCATTCTGAAAATTAGGGATTTTATTATCAATATCTATGTAGCTCATGTCAATGTTATAAAACTATGGTTGAAGGTTTTCAAGAGATTTTTATTTTATCTCAAGCTGAGACATAAGAATCTGTTTGGTCGGAAACAGGCATATTGACCAATGAAAATCCCCAGATTAAAGACATGAGCTCAAAAAAAGTTTTATAACCGCAAAACCTTTAGAATATTTCTTTTTATAATATATCTTGAAAATAACAGATCTGAAAATAACAGAAGGCCTAGTATTTAGTCCACTTCAAAAGGTCTAAAGATATAATATTCCTTTTCTCAACATTGTCAAATTATTTAACAATTTCTCATACTGTCAACAGATTTGTCTAAACTGTTTTGCAAAAACACCACTTAAATCTCCATGTGTTACCTAGGCCTTTGAAGGTACAAAAATGGGCTTCACATACGATGTTTTTTTTCATTACTTGTCAGGGATATAAAATGACTCTGAAATTTAGTTAGCCAGTTGGGCTCATAGCTTTTCTAATCAAGCAGCCCAGTTTAACTTTAATTAGCTCAGACCTAAATCTGGACTATAATAAAGAAAATACAATGTTTTTTAACTAATTCAATCTCTAGTCAACTTATTTATTCTTCACTCATATATTTTATGGCATCTTTGGCCTTGACTCCTTCATGAAATTCCACATCTCATGAAATTCCACATCCTTTCTTCTTTTTTATTCTTTTTACAATGCAAATATAGCGACTATATTGTCAAGGTCATGCAAACGCTTGTAAAAATTTAGTTGTTTACGACCTACAAGTGAAGTCCTAATATCCTAGACAAAAAAGTCTATTTTCAGGGAATAGCAACAAGGTAAAAATCGAAATTGAAAATAAAACACAAGGAAATATTGTGGGAAATATAAACATGGGCAAACCTGCCCAAGTCTATGGAAGGGTATTAACGCAAAAATTACATCTTGCTTTCTTACGTTACATCGTGCTTTCTAACTTGTACATCTTGGATTCTGACTTGTACATCTTGCATTCTGACTTTTACATGTTGCTTTCTTACATGCACATTATGCTTTCTACTGTGTGCGTCTTGCTTAATTGTATGTTGATATCATTATTTAACGATCAATTATTATTCATTTGTTGATCTGGTATATTAATTCAATAACTTAACCTGCAACTGTTTGTATTTGGGTCTATTTACTCAGCTTGAATGACGAATGTCATAAGGTAGAATGACGCATAGCCGAAAGCCGAATGCAGCAAGCATAATATGACGCGACATCTGGTGTAATAATATGCGACATCCACATTATGCTGTCAGGTGGCGCTACAGTTATAGTCTCGGTAAAGTCCGTATTGCGATTCGGATTCATTTTACCAAGTTATGTCCCTTTGTTTTAAAATTTTCATTTCCACTATGGAGCAAATAAGGTAAACATATATACAAAACGATTTAACCAATTTTTGTATTTATTACTGAAACTGTGTGGGTCAAATTATACTTCCAGCTGACAATGACAAGTTGCACATTTCCAAATCAATGATTTTAGCATTATTTTTTTATCAACAAAATAATTATAAAATAGAACAGTTGTTCAAAGTGCTTGGGTATGGAAAATGATCGATATTCCAGATGCTCGTATATTTTTGGTAATTTCTGTATGGTTCCGTACATGTTTCCGAACTTGCGCTCTCTGTCATAAACTAGAAATGTGTCCATAGGACACGGGTGCCCCCACCGCGCCACTGTTCTGTCAATCTTTGTACAAAGTCAAGGGAAATAACTCTACAAATACTGGATAAATCCACAAGCGAAACCCCAGGTGCAAATCTAAATATACTGAGCAAACTGCCCCTAAGGTTTAATGACTATGTCAAATCCTTTTTTCAGTAACTTGAGACACAAGTTGAAAATTGCAAAAATTTTCTAAGTGAAGGGCAATAACTCTAAAAATACTAAATAAATCCAGACGAAAATACCTGGTGCACAACTGCACATGATGATCAATATTCCTGTAAAGTTACATGACTCTAGTCAAATACTTTTTGAGTTACGTGCGGCACAGGTTGAAAATTGCAAAATTTTACTAAGTCAAGGGCAATAACTCTGAAAATACCAAAAATATCAAGCCAATAATACCCAGGTGCACAACTAAACATGCTGATCAACATTCCTGTAAAGTTTCATGACTCTAGGTCAAATACTTTTTGAGTTACATGCGACACAAGTTGAAAATTGCAAAATTTTACTAAGTAAAGGGCAATTACTCCGAAAATACTATAAATATCCAGACGAAAATACCCAGGTGCACAACAACACATGCTGATCAACATTCCTGTAAAGTTTCATGACTCTAGGTCAAATACTTTTTGAGTTACATGCGACACAAGTTGAAAATTGCAAAATTTTAATAAGTCAAGGGCAAAAACTCTGAAAATACTAACAAGAGGGCCGTGATGGCCCTGAGGTCGCTCACCTGTATATAGGCCCCCAAACCAAAACGCTGCAGGGCCAATTTAACCCAAGGGCTTTTATTTGCACAAACTCGGTAGACACCCATAAGAAGATGTTTCATGCTAAACATCTAAGCTCTAGCTCATTGGGCTTTTTGAAAGAAGATTTTTTTTTAAGTTTTTACTATAATACACATATAGTTAAAAACAATGACACCCCTGGGGCCGGGCCAGTTTTGACCCCAGGGCTTTTATTTGAACAAACTTTGTGGACACTTACTAGAAGATGTTTCAAGCTTAATATCTAAACTCTAGCTATTTGGGTTTTTTCAAAGAAGATTATAAAGTTTTTGCTATACACATATAAAGAAAATCAATGACCCCCGGGACGGGGCCAACTTTGACCCCAGGTCTTTAATTTGAACAAACTTTGTAGACACTCACTAAAAGATGTTTCATGCTTAATATCTTAGCCATAGCTCTTTGAGTTCTTTAAAAGAAGATTTTTTAAGTTTTTACTATATGCATATAGGGAAAATAAAAGACCCCCCGGGACGGGGCAAATTTTGACCCCAGG